GGAGGAGGAGGAGGAGCAGGAGGATGAGGAGCAGGAGGAGGAGGAGGAGCAGGAGGAGGAGGAGGAGGAGGAGAAGGAGGAGGCGGAGGAGCAGGAGCAGGAAGAGCAGGGGGACCAGGAGGAGCAGGAGCAGGATGAGGAGGAGGAGAAGGAGGAGGAGGAGGAGGAGGGGGAGGATGAGGAGCAGGAGCAGGAGGAGGAGGAGGAGCAGGAGGAGGAGGAGGAGGAGCCGGAGCAGGAGCAGGAGCAGGAGCAGGAGGAGCAGCAGCAGTTGCAGGAGCAGGAGTAGGGAATGAGGAGCAGGAGGAGGAGGAGCATGAGCAGGAGGAGGAGGAGGAGGAGATTGTCGACCCCCGCAGTGTGAGATAGCTCGCCTGAGCGGCCATCCACGATTCGATCGACACACGATACCAACCTTTCTTGTCCGCTCTCGCCTCGCGGCTCGTGTCCCAGCGTCGGCGTCGCCTCCGACCCGACCGACGCCCGACTCGTGGTCAGTTATGGACGCCTTCGGAGGCGAAGCTGGTCTTCTGGATCGCGGCCTACGCGCGCTCTGGATCGTCGACGGTGCTCTCGCTGACCACCAGCACGAGCTTGACGGTCTCGGGTATTGTAGACAAAACACCGATACTAACATAATCGGGAGACGCGCTCCATCTCAGGGAATTCAGTTGATATGGGGGACTCCATGAGGGGCTGGCGTCGTGCACCAGGAGGGCGAGAGGGGGGAGGAAGGGAAGGGAACGGAGCGGAGGTAAGGGGGGTGGCGGGGGAGCGCGGGAGGTGCAGCGGGGAGAAGAAGAGGGGCCAGCAGGAGGCGCTCTGTCCCCTCCCCCTGTCCTCGGAGCCAGGAGCAGCAACTCCGTAGAGGCCATCAGTGGCGAGAGTTCAACATCTGACTTGCGCGATGTGCCCCTAGACTCGCCGGATGGATACCAAGGCCTAAAGAGAACGGGCCCTCTTCTGGGCCTCCCCCGAGGACTGCGCCCCAGACTAGGCCGCCTGGAGCGGCAAGAGAAGGCCTGGACGCCCCAGGCCCTCCTCGTCTTCCTCCTCCTCCTCCTCCTCCTCCTCCTCCTCCTCCGTAGCCATTTAGGCTCAATATGATTACACCCCGTGGCAGAGCATGGAGACCCTGTGTCCAGGGACAGCTAAGGACCCGCTTTCATATCCACGCCTTCCACCTCCCCTGGTGGTCGAGCGTCATATTCGGCACAGCGTTCGCCCTCTGCTTCCGCCACGCGCAATCGACCGAGGCTGGCGCGGGCCTCGCTCTCACGTCATGGGAAGCCACGAAGGCGCCAGACTGCTCGCTGGGCACAAGTTCGCAGTGCACGGCCTACCCGCTCACGTTCGAAAGCAGCAGGAGGAGACCATGGCCGCCCAAATCGCCGACGCGCCAAGTTCGAAGCCACAGCACGTGCCGTCACAGCACAAGCCAGCCAAGACTTCCTCGCCTCCATCACGAGGATCACGTCCGAGCTCAGCCAACGTCACGAAGCCACCGAACGCAGCATTCACAGCGTCACGCAGCGCACCACCGACCTCGAGAAGCAGAATGTCGAACTCAAGACCGCCGTCGCCAAGTTTGAAGCCATCGTCACAGCCGCAGAGGCACGGCACCCACGCTCAACTTCGAGGGCCTCGGCATGCGGGACAAACCCCGACCCGACAACGTTCTGGTGCAGCAGCCCACAGACCGTCGGCCCCGCCAAGCGTCACTCGTTCCAGGTCAGCGGCGGCACCGTCGTGGCAGAACCGCGTGCTCAGCGTCTTCACCGTGCTCCCCGCAACGGGAAAGCATGGCGCAGTTTTACTATCGATCTGGGCAATGGTGTCTCTGTTCCTCTAAATGTATCAGCAGACAAAAGCCAGAAAGCCGTTCGCACAGCAGTTCACGTCGAACGCCCCGCCAGAACCATGCAGAACGCCATGCCCGACGTCGACCTCCGCGCGCACAGGAGTCTGGTTACATGGCTAATCGTGGGGACGCTCTGGTTCGTTTGCTCATCGGCGCCCATTCTGACGCGCCCACCGGGCTTCAGTGGCCCAACGCCGCCATGGGCCGCGGCTTCACCGAAGCCAAACAGCGACATGTCAACGCCGAGGTTCGCCGCCAACTTCGCGGACGCCTTCGCGGCACAATTGTCGCATGTTTCAATCTTAACTTCGCCAACTCACTCTCGCTGTTCAAGAAACGCATGGACCATAAGACGGCCTCACTCTCCTGGCCAATTCGCCCCAGCACCCGTGCAAGCCGTGCCACTCGCCCGTGATTGTCAACGATGCGCCGGTCACCAACGCGGGCGGCATCGGCTTCCTCGCCCCGCGCGACAAGCGAGAACATCAGCTACCACCAGAACGACGGCCTCAAACCAGGTTCGAGGTCGTCACCCATGGCCGCGCCGCTGGGCTGCGCGTCGCGGACGCCAGCCTCCAGCGCGAGGTCACCTCCTCAACGTCCACAACTACGGCCTCACGCCAGCCGACCATCTCCACCTCCGCGACCAATGGCAAGCACTTCGACAGCATGCTGACTAACAGCCTCAACAGCGCCTGGTCATGGGCGCGGGTGATTTCAATGTATCCGAGTTCCCGCCGAAGTCCCTCAACGCCCCCGCCGACTCCGACACCGCCGCCGCGCAGAGATACCAGTGCCAGCCTGTCTTCTGGCGCTCGCTGTTTCGTGACATGATGGAGATCACCCCCGCGTCTACGACACGCAGAGCCGAATGCAAAATGAGTTCATCAACGATCGACCGCTGCTTCATGAACCCCCCGAGCCACCTCAGGCCCCTCATGGAGACCATTTACGTCGCCGACGACGCCCCCCTCGAGAACGCCAGGGGCCCGATTGGCGACCGCATGATCATGCACCTCCACATCCGCCTCCGCAAGCCCAAGCCAGCCACCGAGCGCGGCATCCCCGCCTGCATATTCGACACGGACCACTACAAGCGTCACATCCGAAAGATCCTCGCCACCATCGACATGACGCCGCTCGCTACGATTGCCAGATGGCGCGCTCTCAAGGCCGCGATGCAAGTCGCTGCCGCTCGCGCACGTGACGCGCTCGCCAAGATCTCCCGCTGCCGAGCTGAAGTCCCAGACTGCGAGCGTCTCCAAGGAGACCCGCGCCACGACGCTGCGCAGCATCGCCCGCGCAGTCTGGCACCAGAACGTCCCGCTCGCGAAGGCGCCGATCGAGAACGCCGAGATCGGGCACTTCCACCCGAAGATCGGCGGCGACACGGTCAGCATCAACGACATGACCTCGTTCACCTCGACCGCGGACGCCACGCGCGCCAGCCTCAGCAACGAGCGCAAAGCACTCTCAGCTGCCCGCTCGCGCGCTGCCTTTGCCACCAACAACGCCCCCCCCATCCGGGAGTGGCGCCGGCGCGCCCGGCGAGAAGGTCACCGCGGCGAGCTCTGGAAACCGTTTTCCAAGCGCTTCGCGCTGGCTGGCATCAAGATCATCGCCGGCAACCCGTCCGACGCCACGACAGACCCCGCCGCCGCGCGCCAGGCCATCGCGCGTCACTGCGCCCCCGTGTTCGCCGAGAAGCACGTGGGCGAGAAGCGTCTCACCGACGACCTCGACTCTGTCTTCCCCCGGCGCCAGCGAGCAGATCTATCGCGCCCCGACGAACATGCACTTGAGAAGGCAGCGCGCCTTGCTGGGGATTCAGCCCCTGGCCCCGACGGTCTATGCCGAGCGCGGCCCCGCGCGCCCGACAGCTTCGACGCCCTCGGCGACGCCTGCTACGACATCGCCGCCAATCGCAACACCCCGCACGACCAGAACTTCTCTCTCATGGCCATGTTGCCGAAAGGCGACGAGCCATCGGGCAGTGCGGAGCGCGCGCTCCTCTGACTGTCTTCGCCCGCTTTGAATGAAGAGCTCGGGCGCGAAGCTGCTGGCGTCCGCCGCCAACCGCCAGTTCCGCGCCCTTGCCGCCCAGACGCCCCCCAAGCAGCAGGGCTTCGTCAACGGCCGCCAGTTTTTCAAACAACGTCGTCGTCGTGGATGCCGCGGCGCGTCGACGCAGCCCTTCCCCTTCAGCCTTCAGCCTCCTCAGACATGCCCGTCTTCGTCAGCATGGGCATCACAGCCGCGTTCCCCAGCCTCGGCCACCAGTGGATGTGGAACGTTCTCGTGCGCTGGGGCGTCGTCCACGGCCGCGTGCTGCGCTTGATCCAAGCCCGCTACTTCTGGCCCGTCTCGTTCCTCGACATGGGAGGAGAGCGTCGCCCACTCCTGATCGCCGCGTCGGACGCTGCTCAGGGATGCCCCTTGAGCGGCGCGATCTGGGTGCTCGTCTTCGACCCCATCATCGTCGTCATCAGCCGCGAGCTCAGCGCCATCCACCGCGGGCTCATCGGCGCCTTTGCCGACGACCACGGAATCATCCTCGCCGGGCTGGCCGACATCAGCGCGCTCGCCCCCCCGCGCGATCGCGGCCGAGACTTTGGCAGGCCTCCAGCTCCAGGCCAAGAAGTGCATCGTCGCCCCGACCTGGGCCCACCCGTCGCAAGACCTCGTGGCCGAGATGCGACGCGTCCTCGCGGCTGCTCGCGCTCCATGGTTCAACTTCATGATCGAGTCCAAAGCCCGCTACCTTGGCTTCTACGTGGGCCCGGGCGCCGCGCTTGCCGACCAATGGCGTGGCCCCGCAGTGAAGTGGCGGTGCCGCGCGGAGAAGCTCGCCGCCTCGCACGCCCCCGCCCAGCAAAGCACCAAGCTGCGCAACGTCGCCGCCGTCACGCGCCCAGGCTACGTCGGCCAGCTCTTCGGACCGCCCGAGGGCATCCTGCAGAAGGAGCTCCAGGCCATCAACAAGCTGCTGCGCGTCGCCCCCCCCCCCCCCCCCCAGCTTCGCCAAGTCCGACGTCCTCGCGATGTCGTCCTGGACAAACGTGGACGCCCCCAACGGCATCGATAACTCCCCGGCCGCCACCTTCTGGAGAACGGCGTCTACTACTGTGACAGAGTGTAGACGCGCACGTCGCGAACTTTGCGACGACGCCTACGACCAGCTTCCCGTCGCCGCGGCACTGCAAGGCGCGCGGTGCAACGACTGCTGGGAGATCAAGACCGCCAGTGTCCAGCGCTTCGAGGGTGCCACCAACTCCACCTCCTTCGCTGACTGCAAAGGATCACACCTCAAACGCCTGACACGCACTGCTGGGCCCCGACCCCGCGCGCGAGCCGCCGTGATCGCCAGCCACGCGCGCGCCGCCAGAGCAGGACAGCAGGCCATCCTTCAACGCCACGCCCTTCGCCTATCTCAACAACCCGGCCGCCGTCAACATGGCAGACCTGCCGAGCTCACGCCGCAGAAAGCTCGCATGAAGCCGCTGAACGAGAAGCTCTACGTCGACACCATGCCTGACACCATCAAGCGCCGCCTTGTCGCGCGGTACCCTCTACTGGATCCTGCTCGCCAACTTACACGCGAACCGCCATCTGGACCGCCGCGTGAAGCTGAACGTGCCCAAAAGCGCCCTCTGAACAGGGCGCGCTCATGGGCCGCGCACTGGCTGCCTGACCTCCTGATGAACGACCGACGCATCAACGGCCAAGAGGACTGGATGCA